TAAATAAAATTATAATAAAATATAATTTTTCATAACTAGGAAAAGATTAAGAAATTAAGAAATTTTATATCACTATGATAATACTAGACTTGACATCTTCAGAAAGTGTGTTTAAAAATTTATTAGTTGATAAAATAAGAGAAATAGCTACTGACTTATTTGCTTGAAGAGAAGATTGAAAATCAAGAGTATTTTTGAGATATTCTATAGATGATATTGGAATTAGAAAAGTTTTTGAAGAATTTTTTTTATATATTATACTTGTATATTAAACATGTTAACTTATTACTTAAAATAAAAAAGAAAAGAAAAGAAAATAAAAGTAAAAGAAAAGTATTTTTGATTTTTATATATTTTAATATTTTTATAATTATTTTATAATTTTTAGATATAATATTGACTGTAAAGAAGTATAGAAAAAGAAAAAACTTAATAAAATAAAAAAGATTATAAGTAATAAATCATATTTAATTATAAGACTATATAAATTATTATAATTAAAGGATAGTTATAATAGTTTTTTCATCTTAAATAACTTGGACTTCATCTAATTAAGAGATTAACAGAGAAGAAATATGAAAAAATTATTATTATTATTATTATTATTATTATAATTTTAAATAATGAATTTTATTAACAAATTATTATAAAATATATAGAATTTGAAGAAAAGTAATTAAATTAATTAAAATAAAAGAAAGATAAATATTAATAAAGATTTTTAAAATTTATATTAATATTTATGAATATTATTATAAAAAGAAATTTAAATTACAAAAATAATTTATAAAAAAATAAAACTATAAAAGAATATAATAAAAAAACTAAAGATTATAATAATTAATAAGTAAAATTATTATTAATAAAAAAAACTAAACAAAAACTAATATAAATTGTAATATAAATTAAAATAATTAAATTAAAATTATAAGAATATATAAATCAAAATATCAAATTAAAAATACAAAAATATTAAAATTAAAAATATCAAAGTTAAAAATTTATATTTAAATTAATAATAAAAATTCAAAATAAATTTTATATAATTAAAAAAATAAAACTAAGTGAGAGAAAGAATACTAATATAATTAAAAAAGAAATTAAAAAATTACTATTATTATAATAATAAGCATTTTAATTATATTTTCAAATAATTTAATTTAAACTATTTATTTTAATTGATTCTTTTATACATTTTTTCAAATATAAAAATTATTATAATATTATTAATTAATATTATCCTATCTAAAATATGATATAAATTATAATATTATATTAAGATTTTAATATTAATATTTTCAGATTAAGATTATAATATTAAAATTTTAATATTAAGATTTTGAAATTAAGATTTTTAAATAAAATAAATATAAAAAAAATAATTTATAAATATATTAATTAATTAATTTTTAAAATAATATTAAAAATAATTATATATAAAATATTTTTATTAATATAATATAATTATAATTAAAAAGATAAATTTCAAATTTAAAATAATAAAAATACAGATAGAAATAAGAAAAAGAAATAAATATAATATTTAGAAAACAAATATAAAACTTAAGATATAAATATAATAAATAATAAATATAATTAAATAAGATAAATTATATAATAAATTATAGAATAATAAAAAATAAAATTTTAAATAATAAAAAAAAGATTATTAAATTAAAAAAATCTATATCATTATAATAATATTTAATTTTTCTTGAAAAAATTTTTATTTCTATAAAATTAAGCAATAACTTTGAATATTTCTTCTCTTTTTAAATAAAATAACTTGAATAATATAAAATTAAACTTATTATTAAATACTTTTTTTTTAGACTGATAAATATCAAATATTTTTTTGAATAATATTATATAATTTCTCATATACTTATTTTTTAAAAGTATTATTAATTTTCTTTTAATTTTTTGAATATATTTTCTATATTTTTATAATTAAATTAATAATATATATTCAAGTTTATAATAGTAAACTATCTTTTTATTACTATTAAATAGTTAATTATAAATTTCAAATATTACATTTTCAAGTTTTATTAGCTAATATTTTTCTAAAATCTGATTTATTTATCTGGAAATATTAATAAATAATTCAGATTTTTCTTCAATTAATAGTAAATTATTAGAATTTACAAATTCTATTTCTTTTTTATAATTTTAAAAGAATATTTCTCAAATTCATTTTTTTCAATAAAATTAATAAATTTATTAATTTAGTTAAAATTTGATTTCATAATTAAATTAATTAATTTTAAAAATAATTCAATAAATTTAATTAATAACTAAACTCTTAAAAGATGAGTATTATTTATTTTATTATCTTTAATAAATTCAGATTGATTAAATAAATTTAAAAAAATAATATAAAATTCTTATTCTTTATTATTATTTATGTTTAATCTAAAGATTGAAATAGTAAGCATTTTAAAAGATTATTAAATAAGTAATTCTTAATATAATTCTTAATAATTTGAATCAAAATTCAAGTTAATAATTAAAATATAATAATAAGATAAAAGTAATAAATAAAAATAAAAAGGTATAAAAAAAATAGATAATATAAAATTATTTATTAATATTTGTAAATAAAATAAAATATAATATGAATAATTTTAATTTATAAAACTTATAATTTTATTATTTAAATTACAAAATAAAAAGAATATATTTATAAAAATGAAATAAATATAAAATATGAATAAATTAATAATAATTAATAATTAAATTACATATAATTTAAACATGATTAACTTAATTTATATTTTTAGAAAATAATGAATCATAATTTAATAAATTAATAATAATATAAATAATAATTAAAGAAAATAAATAAAAATATAAAGAATAATTAATAATAAAAACTAATTGAAAAAATATTAATAATCTAAATTTGAAATTAAAAAATATATAATAATTCTTTATATAATAATATATACAATTTTAAATTTATAATACAAAAGATAAATTCTTTATATAATAATATATATAATATAAAGAACTAATTAAAAAGAATATAATCTAATTAAAATTATTATATCTTCTTCTACTTAAATATAATATTTTTATTATATTTAAGTATATAATTTTTCAAAGACTTTTATTTTTTTCATGATATTTTTTAAGTTTTCAAGAGATTTCTAAATAGCATTATAAAGAAAATATTTAAGCTATTTAACAAGATATTTATATTTATAATATTAGATTTTTTTGTTAAGAATATTTTCAACTTCATATTCTTCTTCATTATCTGAGATAATAATAACTAGTAATAATATAATCTGTTGAATTCATCATCTGAATTATATTTCTTTAAAATATTAAATACAATTTAATTTTTTATTATTTTTTTCAATTTCTTATTATAATTATTATTATATTGAAAATTCAAATATATATAATATAAAGTTAATAGATAATTACATATTCACTTTAACTTAAAAATAGAGAGGAAGTAACTTAAGAAATTTTGAAGAATTATAAAAAAATAGTATAAAAAAATTTTAGAATTCAAATTTGAATACTGAATAATTCATGAAATAAGATTAATATAATTAATAATTTTTTTATTATTATTATAATATTATTATATAATTATTGATTTTTTTATATTATTATAAATCTTAAATATATATATATATATCTTGAAAGTAGGCCTGGTCTATATTATAATTATTTAGCCAGTATTATTAATAATTTTAGTTATCTTCTGTTACAAAAAAAGAATGCTTATTTTCTGAGTTTTATGATATATTATTTATTACTTATATTTATTCTTTAAATTCATATTTTTCACATTTTTTACTCAACTTCATCCATTTTAGAAACCGATTCTAATTATATCAAATTTTATATTATGTAGTATAAATATAATGAGAATAACAAAAAGTTATAATGTAATTGCAATTTTATAAATAATAACATAAGATATCGAAGTTCAAACCTAAAATTATCTAATTATTAAAATTAATACAGTTGCATTTCTCTAAAGGTATCTCTCTAGAATTATAGTAAAAACGCAAAATAGCAAATATATAGAGCTCTTATACGTTGATAACATGTTTTAGAGAAAATTTGCATTTAGAAAGTGTGACTGTATTTAGAATTATCACCATACATTTATAAAATCCTATATATCAAAGAAATTTATAATATAAATAAAGATTTGCTCATTGGTTATATGCAAACCATTATTTATGTAATATTCCATTTCAAATCAAATAAAGCTGGCTTAAACACTCTTACTATACTTTTGCAAAAGTTCTTTTATATAATGAAATATTCTTTGTGCATAGTATTAAATTTTATTAAAATTAAGAATATTTAAATCTCAAAATTATACAATTATTAAATATTATTAAATATCAAGACTAAAAAGAAAAACAAATTTAACATAACATATATTTGAAGTGCAAAATAAAATTCTATTTAAACCGATTTTTAAAATAATTAGTATTATCTTTAGCAACTGTCCTTCAGATCGATTTGTTGAAAAAACTGAAATCGGAACATGGGTACTCTTTAGATTTTATGCGCATAAATATGATATGTTTACATTATCACACATTGAGTTGAACCATTGCCATCGTTTGGATCACCGGTGGGTCCCTTGATAGCACCGTTTGGAACGATTACTGAGATGGGGTTGAAGGTTGATTGAGAGTTGGTTGTTGGTTGCATTTTTATTAAATGATGTGAATTGATTAAAGTTGATTTGATTTATGAGTTAATATGTTGATTTTGCTCTTGTTATGATTTTATTATGTCGAGTCAAGGAAAACCTTTGAATTTATAGAGAAACTTGGTGTATCCTCTAAAGTAAATTCAATTCAAGCCATTAGAGTATAATAATAAAATAATTTTACATATTATTCGATTTTTGCTACAATATTAAAAATTTTGAGTCACGTTCAAAAGCGTCAAAGTGACATCTCAATGAAAAATAGGCAATCTCGGAATTTACTCTTGAAATAATCAATAGAACAATGAAATATACCATCCAACAAATGAATGGTGATAGTGATACACGAAACAATACAATATCGATATAATTAATGTATAAATCTAACGCAGTTATACATGTATTACGAGAAATTCAAATTATGTGAGTCGAGTCAAAACACGTGTATTAAAACAATTTTGACCGTCATAAAACAGACTGCTAAATATAATACAATTATGAGTTCGCTTTAGCAACAATAGGAAAAGATTCAACATTATTTGTAACTGTACTTATTTGATAAAGAAAAGATATGTAACAAATAATGTTTTCCGAAAGTCATTAAACAATGAATTACTTTTATTTGTATCGACTTTAAAAATGTAAAATAATGTATGATATTGTTCGAATTGAAAGAATAGCCTGAGGTGAATGTTTTAATTGTTTGCATAGCAAATTTGCCATTCTGAGGGATGAACTGACTCAATTATCGATTATCCGAAAACCCATTTATCCAAATTAAGCACTAGCTATATTAACGTGTTTTTCAGTTGCGCATTATATCGAGGTAGATTTACTGTTAGGCCTGATTTTTGAATATTGCATATGTGCGTTGTATATAATTGGACGAGGTCGAATTTATAAGATCTATTATCGATACATTATCAAATAATAGCGCTCTCCTTACTCAAATCCAAGAAATAATCGATATTTAAAAATGCAGTTTATCAAGTTTCGTACACCCATGAGCTTATTTTGAAACCTTGTATGCCATTCTTAAAGAGTACGATTTTCGAGATAATGCCTAAAGCGAAAATACGGAAAATATATGTATTTGGATGTTAAAAAATTAATTCATATAATAGGATCTCGAAGAAGAATAGTAACCCTCCCAATTTTTTTTAATATTATGCGAGTGTAAGACTGTAAGTTAGAATGTGTGTATGTATTACATGTACATGTACATGTAATTTGTAACTACTGAAATCGATCTCTGCCAAAAAAATCTAAAAAGATAACAATGATACAATGCACGTATATGAAACAAACAATGTAGGAGAATCGTATCAATACTACATTAATATTATCTATAACGATAATGATACCCATTGTTTAACTACATACGTAGATAAAACGATTATGCATTTGCTTAATGTTCAAATTTATATAAAAGAGCGCTCTCTGTGGATTCAGATTTCTCTATCAGCAAAATATTATCTCATAATTTAAAGAGAAGCGAAGAATTTAAAATAACAGCCAATTCATAAATATTTCTTTCTACATCTCAATTAAACAAAATGAAACCAACAACTAATAATCAATCAACAACCTTTAATCCTATCGCGATTATTGTACCAAATGGTGCTATTAAAGGACCTACTAGTGATCCAAATGATGGCAACGGTTCAACACAATGTGTAATAATGTGAACATTTAATACCATTCATCTTATCATGACCTTCAACAAATTGCTTGCGATAATTTCAATCTTCAACTTACGCCTGGCTTGCGTCAGTGAAACTTTTCTTTACATTTAATTTTTCAAAAGTTTTAGTAAAGTGTATTTTTATTCAATATCAAATCTAATATAATCATATAGGATTAAATAATTTTATCAGTTTAACTTTCTATTTCTATTACTTTCAAGATATTAATGACCTGTATATATTTTCCATAAAAGAAATAATTAATTTCTGCGTTACCGATTTATTATTCATAAGAAATTTTACACCAATAATCTAATTCGGAATTTTTTACTATAAAATTTAATTTAGTTGCAATTAAAAGCACTTCGAACTCGTCGTTGTTAATATTAATGTATTGCAATTTATAATTTATTCTATTATAAATATTTACTAAAGACTGGGATAAAACTTTAAATATCTTGGAATTTGTTTTAAAATTATATATAATGTACTGTATTGGATTCAATTGTTCATTTTTTATTAATTCAAAAAGTAGCCATTCAGATGGCACTAAGTAACTGAAATTGAGAGAAATTTTATTGCCAAAGTTGCCCGTTTGGAATAGTCTAGCTTCTAACTGTTTCATATATCATTAAGTTAAAAGGGTTACAAATCAAATACTTCATTGAAAAATATCATCGTAAAATTATTCATTTCAGTTTATATTATTTTTTTCAGTTTATATTATTTTATTCGAAGATTGTTATCAAAACTAAATATTTTAACAAAAACAAAAATATTCCAATTTTGACTTTATAATTAATTAGTCAATGTGCAATAAAATTGATTTTCATTTATTTAAAATGAAACTTTATATAAAATTAATTAATAATCATGAGAATTAATATAAATAAAAAGTAATAATAATTTCATTATTTGTCAAATATTTATAATTCTATAAAATCTAATGATGAGAATATTAGAAAATTTGAAAATTACTGGTGCAATGTAGACATCTTATTCTTTTGAATATAACTTTTCTTTGTAAAACTATTCAATTCTGAATATCCATCGCTTAGTAACGTTACCTATATAAAATTTTGTTAATATATTTGTTTCCAAATTAATCAATTATAAATTCAGAATAAATATATTCAAAATTTGTAAAAGAGATTTTAAACTTGGTTTATCACTGCTATTTTGCCAAGACATATTTTTCTTCTACTAAATTGCAAAAGAGAGACTTCAATAGAAATAACACAAAATTAGATTTTGGATAACCATGCAACAATTTTAGAATATAATATCTGTTTTGCATGTTGCATCAATGATAAACACACATTAAACCTGCTATGAAAGCAATTTGTGCACTTGACAAAGGGATTATTACATAAAATATATTATATATTTGTAATAATGACGATTCAAAATACAGTATCACTAATGATGTCCAGATCTGAAAATTCCTAAAAAAAAATTTGTAAATCGAGATCTAAATTATTCTATTACATGTATTCAATAATTATGCGTACAATTCAAAGTCTATTAACATATCTAAAATGGTCCATCTCCCATTATGATATTTACAACTTATTCTCAAAAAATTTATGAGGTGCGCTAAAACGATGATTTCGCGCACGGAAAAATATTATCGCAAAGTAGATCTTTCCGATGATACTATTTAATAAAGAAGCTGAACTGGTGATTAAAGAAAAGATTGGTATGATATTATAAGATACTGTGTATTGGTGATATATTATCTAGAAGGTTAAAGAAGAATTACTTAATATTCTATAATATACCATAAAAAATAATAATGAGCTAATTACCTGAATAACGAATTGAGGTAAATCCTCAATAAAAATATTTACAGTGCTGCCATAAAAAATGCGTAATTCTGCTTTTGGTGATATTGGCGCGGAAAATATGCTAAGACCGGTGAAGCAAGATGATAGTAGACTAAGAGCTTCAACATCGGCAGATGAAATCACAGTAAAGATTGAAGCTATTTGTGTATGCGCTTTGAACCATTGATGAAACTTAGAGTTTTCTGAGTTTTCCTTGTTCATTATAAATAATGCTTGCATACAATTGAAACAAATTGAAGTAACCAGTATCAGAATGCTTGGCATGTATAAAAAAGCAACATCTCGTCCGTTATAAAGGATAAAGGTAATATCAACGACAAGATCAAAAAATATTAAGAAAAATTTAATAATAACAATGTTCTTCCCCTAAGCCAATAAAGATGTTAGAAAAAAGTTCGAAAGAAAATAAAATGCAACAAATGAATCTTACTTACTTCTGGGAATCTAAAACGGCCAACAGCGTATAGAACAAAAAGGATCATGATTATTATTCCAAATATAAACAACTTTGGTTTTATTTGCTCCCAAATATCAACTTTACGATTCAAATAGATTATACATAATTAGAACATTTAATATAAAAGTAACAGTAGAAATAAATAAATTTACTTACGAGTTGGTGGAAATCCGTATGTGTCATCTAATAATGCAGAATATTTTCCAAATGCAATCGGAGTTATTTCTTTGTTGCGTATTAATGTATCCAAGTCCCTTCTCACACTCTCGACGTTTGATTGTGACGCATCAGAGGGTGCGATGATTCGAAGAGATATTAAAATTTGTGGTTCTTCTGTGGTTGGGTCCAATTGATAACGATTAGTTGCCACAATACGATCTGGTTCTACAGGAATAGCTTGAGTAATGTCAAGTGTGAGATTCCTCAAGAAGTCAGATTTTTCATTCTTGGACAAATTCTCGAAAGTTGTAGTTGCCTCAGATGTAAGACGAAGTAATGCAATGGTGGTATCTAAATTTTGTGAATAAATCATGTACATTTATATTACATGTATTTTTTAAATGCTTGATGCAGTGCATGTATGTACGTGTGTTTACCTGCATACATTTCATTTAAGAAAGAACCTAAATATAATTTTTAACTTATTAGTTATCTGATTTAATGTAATACGTACATGTATATGTAATTTAGATTCTCAAATTTACCTGTAGTAAATGTCCAAATGTTTGGATCCACCCCCATTAAAGGTTCGAGTGTAATTTTTGATATTACATAATTCGCGTCCAAGGTAACAAAATAAGTAGAATTAGGTTGATTGAATGTCGAATCCAATACGTTTAACGTTACTGTTTTTGAATTATTGCTTAATGTGGACCAACGGAGAAAGCCGGAAGCAGTTTGTCGGAGATATACGCTATCATTGTAGACGCGATAAATCGAAATATTGCCGGAAGAAAGTTCTAACTCATTATTATATGTTATGCTGATATTCTTCGTCCGTATGGGAACGTTTTGACCAATTGCAGGCAATGTTGAGTCAACAAGAGGATTTTTGTAGCCTTTTTCTATTTATTGCATATATTTAACTTAAAAATTTTTATAGAAGTTAATTGGTTCAAATAATGAAATAATCTTACCAGATAAGAATTTTTCAATATCGACCGCATAAACACCCCAACCAGTTTCATCACCAAGACCAGTTATAACAATTGCGGTATTATTTCTAAGCACATTCAAAAACGATATCTTATTTATGGGCATTGTAACATTGTAGCGTAAAATTCCATTCATGTCAGTTACTTGGGTAATGTCTTCTGACGTATCATTAGTCAAGTCGTAATCGTTCAGTATAACTCCGCCATAATATAAAGTATAAGCATTTGTTACCCGATTCGTTTCTTGACCATATTTTGTTCTAATTTTTTGAATCTGAGTAGTCGAGCCAGTCGACAAGAAAGAAATAACCACATTATATTCCACCGTATCGTTTGAAGCACTTGGTGATAAAATCCTCAAATAGCAATGATACCCAGTACCATCATAAGCATTGCTGCATGCATCAATCGTTATTAAGTTGAACGGAACTGTCGTCTGGAAAATAATAAACTCGTTTGTAACTTCCGAATTTACAGGTCTTAAGAAACAAACACGTACAGTCCAAAAGGGATTAATCATTTCGCTTGACGAATAATTGGAACTTTTTATCGCGTATGCTGCGCCGTAACCACCATCTACTGTAGAGAAAGCAACGCCATTGTGAAATCCAGGAACACCTTTTGTGCCATTCGCGATTAAATTAACTTGACCATTTTTGCTGTTTAAAATTTTTATAAAAAATATCCTTTGAGAATACTTTTAATATACAATAAAAAGATGATTATATACATACGGCAAATCATATTCTATCCATGATAATTGATTAAGTCCTGAGTAAAGCGTTGCTAGAAAACCACCATTGCCATTAAAATTTGGAGTAAAAGTACCCATTCCATATACTTGCCCGTTGGCTTGAAAGGGTGAGCCGAGATCTATTTCCCTGCAAATATAAAAAAATATTATAATTGGTTATTTCTAAAGAAAATCAAGATTAAAAGATTTACCTCACTAAAATTTCACCGTATTGGTTTCCAATTATTCCTTTCCATCGATACTCTGACTTTGATTGATCATAATCCAAGTAACCGATCACAAAATAATGTTCAACACCACCAAAAGGTGTTGCGGTCCATCGAAATCCTATTTCTGCGCCTTTCCCATCGTCCGTTAAACTTTTACCCCATTTGCAAAAATTAATGGAAGGGAATTTTACATTTAAATTTATTCGATTCACAGTTCCGTTTGTTTGAATCATTCGTATCAACAGATTTTCGTTGACGCAATTATCGTCTATCATTTCTGCTAATACAATCAGAAAAGTACCATCCGGATAAACGCCACCTGATACAAAAGTTAAATTATTAGCATCTTCAAATTCTTTAATATTAATTGTTTGGCTTTTGCATTCTATAGTTAATGTTATTAACAAAAAAATAAAGAAATAGAGAAAATTTAAACGCAAAGTATATGAATTAGACATTGTTCAATTTAATATAACAAATGAAAGAAGAAAGACAATGCTGAATATTTGAGTCTTTATAGAAAACTTGAAAACACATTTTCTCATCTTTTAATCACTTTTATCGTTGTGTATCGTATGTGTCCTTTGTTAGCAAAATCTCTTAATGTTTCACTAAAGATTAGCATTAGTGTGATTGGTGGTTAAAAAACAGAAAAACAAAGACATAGACATACTGTAAATAGAAAGAATTTATTTTGCTACAAAAAACTCTGGTAGTTTTTCTCTGTTCTGCACATTGCATTTTTTGGCAAAAATACATAAATGCATTACCATAAAAAAAGCACAAGGAGCAAATAAAACTAGGTACATGTATTGTGCTCATACTGTATAAGCAACTTGTTTTTTTTAGTAACATAAATACAAAAAGTGTAAATAACAGGTCTGGCACGAAATCCCGAATCACGAAATCAAGAAAGATCGGAAGCCTGAATGAACGACATCCCGAATGAACGAATTCCCGAATGAACGACATCCCGAATGCATGACATCCCAAAGGTACGAAATCCCGTAAGAACGACATCCCGTGAAAATTTTATTTTCATGGGATACATGTACTATATATTCGGGATGTGAATGAATTTAGGTAAAATGGTTTTGAGCGTAGGAACCGGGAAATTATATCTTGAAACGATTTACTATATTAATTATATTATTATTTCAGTTTTTACAAGCAATTACGATGTATTTTCTGGATCAAGACCTAACTATCAAAAATCGCAGCAATTAGCACGAGCAGCTTTATTATTACCCGGACATGGATTGTGTACATATTCTCTTTTATTTTGGTTCTTGAAATTATCTATCGTAACACAAGATAGTGTCTGTAATATAACATCTAATAAAGAATGAGCTACTCTAGCTAGAAAAAAGATGCGGCTTTCAATCCAATTTCTAAAACTGAGACTGGTTCAAAATTGAACTATCTTAAACTTTAGTATGAGTTGTATTGTTTTATATTTATTGCTTGTCTTGTGGATATTGATTACATCTCTTTAATTAGAGCACAATTTGAAAATCTAAAATTTTTGACAATATTGAATATTATTAGCGATTTATTTCGACCATGTCATTGAATGTTAGTATTGACGGCTAAAGACATTGAATTTCGTGTAGATTTGTTTCCCTCATAGTAAATGGGAGATTATTGTTAGTTTAATAAGCAAATTTGTATAGATTAATGGTATAAATGTTTATTTGGCGAAAGAATTTGAATTAGCTTGTGCATAAGTATTAAATATAATGCACATATGCAGTCGAGTTTCGAAGAGCTTTAGAAATGGATTATGTAAACAAATAGCTTTATAAAATTCAGTAAATGTCAAAAATACAATTGTTTGGTAGAAGCATACATAGATGTATGCACACAACCGTATTGTAAGAAAACCGAAAAAATTCAGATAAGATCATCGTATTTGAGTCCTCTTTCGCATGTTAAGGACTAGAATTCATTTAAAGTATTTTTGTAAACTTTACAATAAATGTTTCTTAAATAATTATACTAGAACTTTTATTACGTTAAAGAACATCTCTAATAAATGTTGAATATTTAAGTATTCCAGGAAAGAGTAATTATCGGTTTTGTTTTGAAGTTAGAACCCAAATTAGTTATTGATATAAAAATTATTAAATTTACGCTAAATAAATGTTAAACTAGAATTAATTTATAACGATAAAGATAATTTGTAAAGAAATTTTATATAATGAATCAAAAGCAATAAGAATATATATCTTAATTCGTTAATTATAAATACAATGTTTTTACAAAATTATATGAATTAATTAAATTTATTAAATTTCAATTAAAAATTTCCAAAAATTCGCAGAATTCTTAGAAATTAATTATAAACGATGTCTTGGCATTATTAATCTCATCCGATTAGAACTCGAAATTTTCGCAGAAGTCCGATGGTGATGGTCGTGAAAACAGATTATTCACATTATTACGCATTGAGTCGAGCCGTTACCGTCATTTGGATCACCGGTAGGTCCTTTAATGGCACCATTTGGAACGATAACAGCGATGGGATTGAAGGTTGATTGAGTATTCGTTGTTGGTTGCATTTTTATTTTAATATAGTTTTTATCAGCAGGCGAATGAAATTTTAAAAGAATGATTTTAGTTATAATTCTGAAATTAAATATTTGATTTGAAATGAAAAATAATTGTCGAGACGAAAGGTTATTTATAATAATTTTTTTTGAACACATGCAACAATCTGTTTTCAATTACATAACAATAGAAACAATGTCTTCTGCGCTTTTACAATGGGATCTACACATTGTTAATTAATAACCGTTTGCTATTATTCTGGTTAATGTCAAACGTATTGTCTTACCTTTAACACCAAAATAGGAAAAAATTCTTAAAACGTGCCGCATAGAAGGGCGCATGAACATGTACTTATGAAACAATTATAACGATAATTGCTAATGGTAGTTTTGATATCTCTGTATGCTAAAACAATTTAAAAAGAATTAGAGTATTGTTTCTTGAATAGAAATTTCTTTTTTTGTCAATAAATTATTATTGTTCAGCTATAAATAAATACATGTACATGCCGAAAATGGTTTCCCACGAAACACATTCACGGGTGATGATATAATACATAAAGAGCCATATTACCTAACGCTAATGCTATTAAATACAATTCCGTTCCGATATAACGTATTGCATAATCTAATTTCCTAATAAAAAAATGATGTATTTAGAAATCAATTGAAGGTACATGTACATGTACATTTGGACACATGCAAACCAGTACATGTATTTTTATGTGATATTTAAATTTAAATAAAAGGGAACGATTCTGTTTATTGTGACTGTGCCACATTTTAAATATGATTCCATTCGATTCAAATCATATGCAAGAAGTTGGCAGCACTGGCTCAAACACGCCTATTTCCGCAAAAGCGCTTTCATGTAATGGAGTAATCTTTGTATTATATTACATTTTATTTCAAAATTAAAAATATTTAAATCTCAAAATTATACAGTTATTTAAAAGCGCAAATTAAACGAGTTTTTTTAAATAAAGTATTCTTTCTTTTTACCTGTATTTCAGGTTGATTTGTTGAAGAATTATAATCAGGATATGGATGTTATTAAGTTATAATACTCTTAGTATTTTATGCCCAATATAATATATTTCACCATATTATACATTGAGTTGAACCATTGCCATCGTTTGGATCACCGGTAGGTCCTTCGTTTGGAACGATTGCTGAAACGGGATTGAAGGTTGATTGAGAGTTGGATGCTGATTTCATTTTATGAATTAGATTTGATTTACGAATAGACAAGTCGAGTTAAGGAAAATCTTTGAATTCATAGAGAAACTTGACGTATCTTCTGACGTAAATTCAATTCAAACCATTGTAGTATAATAATATAATAATTTATATATTATTCAATTTTGATTACAATATTAAAAATTCTGAATCACATTTCAAAAGCACAAAAATGACATCACTTCAATGAAAAATGGGTAAATATATTTTTGAAATATTTAATAGAACAATAAAATATAAGCTTAGCATTTTAGTGTTTCATTATGAATGGTAATGTCATACACGACACGGAACAATGTAAATGTAATTAAATAAATGGAACCCGCAGGTTTACATGTACACAATGTATATGACTCGAGTTAAATCATGTATTAAAAAATCTTGGGATCTGTCAAAAAGTAGGATATTAAGTGTCATACAGTTATGAGCTTGCTTTACAATAATAGAAGAGGGTTTAATATTAGTACTTATTCGATAAAGAAAGAATACGAAACTATAATATTTTTCGAAAGTTATCAAATAATGATTTGATTTTATTTGCATCGATTTTAAAATTCCATCAAACTTTTTAAATACCTAATAATAAATTATTCATTTAATGATATTCGTTAATATTTTTTGAAATTGAAATACTACATGAAGTAAATGGTAGTAGATTTTTTTGTTGTTGCACTATCCTAACTGTGAAAGTGGTGCATTATAGTACAAGAAAAATTTTAATAGCATTGGTCATCTAATTGGGAATACTCATTACGTAAAAGTTGTTCTTTATTGTAAAATAATTTAAAGTTATCTATAGCCAGTTTTAAATGCAAGTATAAGTGATGGATTCAAAAGGTAATAAATACCCTCAAAGTTATCAAAACAGCTAAATTCCATGATAATGACAAGGGCTGTATTGATTTCTTAATAATTTAGTTGCAGATAAAAATTTCGACAAGATTAATAAATATACCATCCTACTTTTATTTTTTTTAACTCGCATAAATCATAACGTTTAATTTATCTTACAAGATCTTCTATATAGTTGGTGTCATAATGGATGGAAAAGAGCTGTGAATGCTCTTGGAATTCCTCTCGAAAAACTCCCTACTACAATTAATCATATCGAAAGAATCAATAATTATTTGAAGAACAATCAGTTAAAACGATTTCAAAGAAATTGCCATCTTTTCAGAGCTGATATTTTTCAAATTGTCCTTGTATCTGATATTATACTTACATTGTGGGATCTTGCAATTGATCTTGAAAAAAATGTGGATTACATAGAAAGTTTGACATAACGGACCCAACAATTTGTAAAATTCTTATGCAGAAATTTTCTTATGTAGTTTACTTTGTGCCAAGTCAAAAAGATTGCTTCAAACGAAGAAGATGATCTAGTACGAAGTAGAAAAAGCAACCAGAAAAACTTTATATCACATCACAGTTTATCTATATAACTTGTATATATAAATAGCTAACAGATATTTTTATCTATGTTTCTGATTCTCTCTAGAATAGAATCATGTATAAGTATCTCTATGCTATAGCATTTTATATTGATAAGCTTTACAAAAAAAAGTAATGTTCATATTTATTTTGAATGATCTTTGCAACTCAACAAGAAGTACTAAATTTGTTTATTATTATAATAATATAGAATCTTAGATGTTTTTTAATTTTTTAAGTTATATTTACTTATAATTTAATATTTATTTCTTATATAATAATTATTATAAATATTTAAAATTTTTGATATAGTGCATAGAATAATGAAAAATTATTAAAATTATCTAATAATTAGATATAACTTTTTATAATCTGTAAAACAAACTTGTTAAAAATATTTTACAGAATTATTATTAATCATAATTCTATTTTTCTTAATAAAATTTATCATAAAAAAAATAAGTTAGATCGAATAAAGATTGAGCTCATACTATTAAAAATTATTTTATTATAAGTAAATTTATTCATTATATTACAAAGAATATCTTTATGAATTTTGATATAATTCTGATATTTTTTCATTAAATAATTAATAAAGATATAATATTAGCTATATTTATAATTATTTTTAGTTTTTTATAATTTAATAGTATTTTTAATAAGATATTATATCAATATATCTTAAGTAATTTTGTTTTACATATCAAAAAATATATATTTGAAAATTTCATGAAATTTTATTTATCCTTTATTATATAATTGATATACAAATTTATAAATTCTGAATATTTATAATAATTACCATAGCTTTTCTTTATTATTTAATAAATAATTTTATATTTATTTATATATAATATTATCAAGCTTAATATAAATATTAGATTTATTATTATATATTTATAAAATTACTATTATTATTATAAGTTATTAATAAATTATTATTTATTAAGTATTATTTATTTTTCTATTTTTTAACTTAGAATTAGGATTATTAATATTATTGAATTTAACAAAAACTTTAATTAAGTTAAATCAAAAGAATTAATTAATAATAACTCTAGAATAGCTTGTTTAATAATCAAATAACTGAAATAAAACTTTTTTCAAAATAGTTTAGGCAAGTATCTTAATTAATATTAAAATTTATTGAATAATATAAGTAAAATTACAACAATAATAACTCGATTTGAAAAAAATTCATTTTTAAATTAGTATTATCTAGCTAAAAATGTTCATTTTCCTAGTGTTAAATATTGGCAATTCTGCAAATTAGAGATTTTTTGCAAATTATAATACAGACTGAAATTTGCTTTCTCCGGACACATGCAAAATATTTAACAAAAAAAAGGAAGTATCAATATGACTAGTTATAAGATTAGAATATTATAATTAATGATTCATTATGAAGGCTAAGAAATTATCGGCTGCTCAAATCAGTGTTCTAATAAAATCGCACCATCCAATTTTAATAATTTCAATTCAATTCATAGTTACCAACATTGGGTTAATAAATAAACACTCAGCTTCCGTAAAGCACTTTTAATCAATTTAAAATCAATGTTTTGTATTTTATTTTATTTTATTTTATTGAAAATTAAGAATATTTATGTTATTTAAAAGCTTAAAAATTAAGAAAACTACAACATTAAATGTATCTAATTAATAGAATACAGTATGTATTATTATAAAGTACAAATTAAAATTATATTCAAAACGATTTTTTAAAATAATTAAGTATTCTTTCTCTAATATCTGTCATTCAGGTCGATTTGTTGGAAAATTAAAATCAGGATATGGGTGTATTGAGTTTATGTGAAAAATATGTGTTCACATTATCACACATTGAGTTGAACCATTGCCGTCGTTTGGATCACCGGTAGGTCCCTTGATAGCACCGTTTGGAACGATTACCGAGACGGGATTGAAGATTGATTGAGAGTTGGTTGTTGGTTGCATTTTTGTTAATGATGTGAATTGATTAAAGCCGATTTGATTTATGAGTTAATATGTTGATTT